TTTAGTCAATAGTTTTTGTTTATTTTGAATGGTTTATGCTTAGTTTAGTCAATAGTTTGTGTTTAGTTTGAATGGTTTATGCTTAGTTTAGTGAACAGTTTGTGTTTAGTTTGAATGGTTTATGCTTAGTTTAGTGTATAGTTTGTGTCTAGTGTGAATGGTTTATGCTTAGTTTAGTGAATAGTCTGTCTTTAGTTAAGAGAATAGATTATGTTTAGTATAGTGGACAGTTTCTGTTTAGTTTAGAGTACAGTCCATGATATATTACCAATAATTGCTATCTCGGATTTTTTAAACAATTTTTCGTAAAAATTGAATAACAAAAACTCCTCTGTTGAACATAAAGGTTCAAAACGTCACTCAATAGTAATACAATTTTAATTATGGTTCCTATACTAAACTAATGTAAAATAAAAGTGCACCCACCAGCCTAGTACACTCAGAGTGGCAATGCGCCGTAGTGTTCCACATGGTCAGGGGAGGCACGATATGGAAGGGCTCCACGCTGTGTCCGAACTGTACCACTCCAGCATCGTAGGTCCTGAGACGCGGCGTGTAAAACAACCTCACGCCAGAGGAGTCGACGACGTCTTGTGCCATGCGTGGGTTGTCATAGTGAATTTCCAGCATAAAGTAGGTTGCCCCGTTATGCTCTTCCCCAAGAGGGAAACCTGCTTCAGGGGGAAGCGAAAAGCCCTTCGCCCCCACAGCCCAGACTATGATCGGGACATTGCAGCCGTTCCAGGAGTCGGGCATGTTCGCGGCGTAGCACTGAGTCCCTAACTGGGCAGGGAGTTAAAAATATAACTCAGTACTCACTGCAATGAGTGACAGAGAGCGCATTTTCTCGTCGACGGAAACGTGAAGTCACGGACAGACGGACTGACGGACGGACTGACGGACATGACGAGCACAATAGGGCATTTTTTCCATAAATGAGAAAATGCGCTAAGAATGTTACCAGTTGAGCACTTCTCTATTGTTCTTCAACGAGGGAAAATGCTTAGAAATTAAAACATTCAAATAATTGGAAATAATTTGCATAAAGAAATGCACTAGGAAAAAGACATCCAAAAATGTTGCAAAAAATGGGCGAACGATCAACTAGAAATCTGACGCAGTTAATAAAGAATAAAACCCGAACAATATGCTGGAGACAGAGACAGTTAAGCCAATCAAGAGAATACATTATTGGTTAAATGAATAAAAGGTTTTGAGAACATGAAAAGACGATAAATTTTCTTCAGTATACCACGATTTATTAATGTTACTAATTCAAATTATTTAAATTGATTTTGCAACGCATAACTGCTCTCAAACCTCATCATAGAACTATTGCCAACTTCCTACAGAGAAGTAATTAGGATACCTTATCAGTCCACTACTCGATATAGATGTTGAATACCTTATAGTTTGAATACCTTATATTTGAATATCTTATAGATGAATACCATATATTTTAATTAATCACTTATATTTAAGTAGCTTATCATTCGTTGAACACCTTATACCATTCAAATATCTTATCATTTCTTGAACATCTTATACCTTTCAAATACCTTCTCAACCCACTGCTCGATATAGATGTTGAATACCTTATCACTTGTTGAACACCTCATACCATTCCATTACCTTATCAACCCACTGCTCGAAGTAGTGCGAGCTGTCGGCATCAGGCGCATGGCATTCATACAGGAGCATGTGGTGTACGAAGTGCGTGGCGTGCGCGGCAATCAAGGGTTCGTACTGCACGAATAAAGCTCTGGATTTACCAGTTCTCTAGCGCAGGGATGTTCGTATTGATTCGCAACGCATATATCATATGTTCGGATCTGTTATATTCATAAAATGGAAATTAAACCTCAACAGAAACCATCTTCCTTTTGCGTTTCTATGCCTATGCTGTGTAATATGAATAAATATTTGTGGGAGTATCTTTGTATTTTTCAAGTATTTTTCAACGCAACTCTCGATGTAAAACGAAAATTTAAATTCTGAAAAATTCATAATTTGAAAAGATCAAGGATTTTGTTCTTGCTTCCTAATTTCAGAATGAAAATACTTTATGTGATATCCATTAATACTTCTCCATCTCATGAATGCAATAATAAAAATAATGATTAATAATTCAATAATTAGGAATAATTCAATAATAAATAATAATTCAATAATTACCGTAATAATAATTCAATAAATAGGAATAATTCAATACCTAATTATAAGTAAATAATCAATAATGATTCAATAATTATTAATGTTTCAATAATTAATAATAATTTAATAATTAAAAGTAATCCAATCAGTAATAACAAAACAATAATCACTAATAATTCGTAAATAATTAATTCAAGATGTAGTATAGGCCATATAACTGACGCCGATAAAATGATGCTTGCGGTCCAGCCTGGGCGCCTTGTAGAGCTTGCACCAGTAGAGCGTGTCCACGTCGTTGGGCAGCGAGACCTGCGGGGTGAGTTCAGACCAGTACAGCAACGGTAAAATTACGATGCCAATGACCACAATAGCGTAATTAATGACAATAACTCCTGGGATATTAGAACAACAACGATAATAAACTGGCTGTGGAAATGACCACAATGCGGGGTGAGTTTAGACGACCGGTACAACAACGGCAATATTACGATGACAATGACCACAATAATGTAATTGATGACAATAACTGCTGGGATATTAGAGCAACAACGATAATAAAATGGCTATGGTGACAGGTACATAAATAACAAAATGCAAAGCAAATATACCTCACATAAGTGCACGTATACCTCAAATAAATGCACGTATACCTCACAAAAGTGCATTTATACCTCATATAAGTGACTTATACCTCACATGAGTGCAATTATAAACCTCACATGAGTGCACTTATACCTCACATGATTGCACTTATACCACACATGAGTGCACTTATACCTCACACGAGTGCTTACACCTCGCATAAGTGAACTTATACCTCACATAAGTGAACATATACCTCACATGAGTGCACTCATACCCCACATAAGTGCACTTATACCTCACAGAAGTGCACTTATACGAGTTATACCTCACATAAGTACACGTAGGTATACCGTTCAAACCACTTACTCCACATGTACTGTACGTACGCACGAGACAGAAGTACTCACGTTGGGCGCCAGCACATCCCACGTTCGCACGAGGCAAGACTCACATTGGGCGCCAGAACATCCCACGTTCGCACGAGGCAAGACTCACGTTGGGCGCCAGCACATCCCACGTTCACACGAGGCAAGACTCACGTTGGGTGCCAGAACATCCCACGTTCGCACGTGGTCGTCGTCGTGCAGGTTGACGCGCTCGTCGCCGGCGACGTAGAGGCTGGCGACGCCGCGGTGGTCGTGGTAAGGCAAACGCGCGACGTCGTCCCGACGGCCTGGCGATGCAGCGTCATCGTACGCCCAGATCACGCGCATCGTTGACGACTGCAACCAACTTATTTACTTACAAATTTATAGTCCAATATTAATGTTTAAATTAGAAATAAACGTAAACATTAACGTGAAAATTTGTAATGCGATCGTGGACTTATTTACTTGAAGATTTATAGTCCAATCTCAATGTTTAAATTAGAAATAAAAGTAAACATTAACGTAAAAATTCGTAATGCGATCGTTATATTTAATTTGAAAACAATTAATTACACCTCAACGTAATAACTGCTAGACTGATATTATTGAGTTACCGGTATTTGAATACAAACCAACTCATTATGTGTGAAATGAAAAAGCACGAATGGGCAGGTCACAATACTCACGGTAATGGGCAGGTCACGACACTCACGGTAATGGGCAGGTCACGACACTCACGGTAATGGGCAGGTCACGACACTCACGGTAATGGGCAGGTCACGATGCTCACGGTAATGGGCAGGTCACGACACTCACGGTAATGGGCAGGTCGTGCAGGTCACGACACTCACGGTAATGGGCAGGTCGTGCAGGTCACGACACTCACGGTAATGGGCAGGTCGTGCAGGTCGTCGCAGGTCACCCAGGGGCGGCTGAAGCGCAGCGTCGTATGGGTGGCGTTGCGGCGGCCGCTCATGAGCGTCACGTCCTGCGACGCGTCCACGACGGGCGTTTTGTCGCCGGTCCCGTGACGATCCTTAACAAAATAATTTCCATTTTCATATTATTATTACCTTAACAAAACTTTTAATTTATTCAACTTTTATTATTATGATAGAATTTGTTAGATTTTCCCTAAATTGCCGATGCTTCAATATAATTAAATACATGTGCGTCGGTTAGTTAGCAGTTTATTTATTTACGAAGGAAATTAACCGAACAAAACGAAAAGCCGAGTCCTGCGTCAATGAAAAGCGCATGCGCGCGTCCGCGGCTTGACGCGCGACAACGCGCCTGTCTGATTTAAGGGCGTTAGCGCATTAGCGCTCTCAGGCGTTGCTGAGGGCCACTATATGAAGCCTCTGATAAGCTAGCGTTTTACGCTGTATTCACATCTGCCTAATTTAGAATATTTAAGATTTCTATAATCCGTATTTGAATTAAAATGGTGCAAATTTCGTGAAGGAAACGGTTAACCCAGTTGAAAAACGGCTCCGAAATTCCACTTTTTCCTCAGCTGTAACAAGGGCGAGTGACGCCAACGAAAAAGTCGGCAATAACATTAAGCAACAATGTATTATTATCGCAATAATTTGATAGAGACAGAAAACGCTCCACTGCATAAATGGTCTTGGCCTTCAGGAATCTGATCGCAGGTGCAAGACAGAGGCTCGTTAGTCACGTATTAAAGTGCAGTTGAAGGTCTTTGAGAGTGTATATCCTATATGCTATCACGAACACTGAACACATGCAACGCTCTTCCGCTTTGTAAATTGCAGGCACCAACCGAAGACGAAAATCTAAGGAGAAATCAAGATGGCGATATTATACAGGATGCAAGAAATACGGGGAACGTAGGTGCAAAAGCATGTACTGTTGTCCCATAGTAATTGCTTCATTTCTTAGGTCAGAAATTTGTGAAAGAGATAGAAATAGAAATTATTAATTAATTAATTTATTAATTAATTAATCTTTGGAGTGTGGAGTCGGAGGAGGTTACAACAAATAATGGTGAGAGTATCTGAATTATTTACTAAATGAAGAGCTAATACATATAAACAGAGGAAATGATTAATACCGAGGATATTTGAGCGTACATCCAGGTGCTGCGTTCACTGTACACCAGTCAAGTGATGGTGTACACCAGTCAAGTGATGGTGTTATGGTGTACACCAGTCAAGTGATGGTATGTACACCAGTCAAGTGATGGTGTGTACACCAGTCAAGTGATGGTGTGCACCAGTCAAGTGATGGTGTGTACACCAGTCAAGTGATGGTGTACACCAGTCAAGTGATGGTGTGTACACCAGTCAAGTGATGGTGTACACCAGTCAAGTGATGGTGTACACCAGTCAAGTGATGGTGTGTACACCAGTGATAATGTACACCCCCGCACACGTCTCGCATGGTTGCACTATTCGTATAACGAAATTATCACCGGCAGCAGTTCTCGCTCCAGCACAAGGTTGACACGCAACCAGGCGCTACTTGACACGCGTGTCGCAGCTACCGCCAAGTATTGCAAGTTAAAATTAATTAATAACCACCATAACCACCAGTTTGGTGTTCATTCTTGTGGTTACTTGGATGATGGTCTGAGGATAAGTAGAATATAATATATATATGCATGTAGAATATAATATGTGTATATGAATAATCTAAAATAAGTAGTAAATGCTAGTAGTTGCACGGAGGAAATATATTATGTTGTATTTGTTGATATTAAATTTTGACCGGCACTAACTACGACCACATGAGTTTAATATCAAACAATGTAAATATTATTAATATATTAGTATTATTAGCAAGAATTGAATAGGAATTAGATAATATTAGTAAGAATTGATAGTACCGGAAAATTGTTATTATTAACTTAACTAAATATCATCGAAAATAAAATACTAATATCCAGATGGGAATTTAGTTCTGAAGTAAATAACATTCGTCAATAGTCACGACTGAATAACGAGCTGTAACATGGGATGAAATTAACGGAGCTTCATAACATCACTTAAAATGGGATGAGAGTTTTTGAGGTAATGCGGTAGCTTGTATGTTGATAACAATGAACGACACTGAAGAGGTCAGGATACGCTGACAAATGTATGGAAAATCCATGTTAACCATTGCTATATAATTTAATGGTCTGTCAGATACGGTGCATTTGGGAATGAAAACCCGAGGCAAATTAAAAATATTGTACGTAATTTAAAACATAATTATATATCTAATAAATGAGTAACTACAAATTTTAACTGACTCACGAATTCAGAGTAGAATAACAATAAGAATTAATTATTGAGCGTCTCACCGACAAGTAAGGTTGTTAAAATTCTTGTTAAAAATGTTGTAACTTAAAACATAAGCCATATGTCTCATAAAACAAGCAACTACAAATTTTTACTGACTCGCGAATTCATGACGAATTCATAGTAGAATAACAATAAGAATTAATTATTGAGCGTCTCACCGACAAGTAAGGTTGACCATCATCGTCTACCCAGCCGAGGATGATATCAGCTCCCCTCATCCCTCCGCTGGGGGAGAACCCGATCCCCACGTAGCCTTGCGTCCGCACCTATAATGTGCATTTGTTCTGAACACAATTCCAGGTGATAATGGCATTTAATTACATTTTTCATGACTTTAACATTCACAGATCAATGGGCTTAATGAAACGTCAAATATCGAGATACGATGGAAACAATGCAGATCTTACTTATCTCTTAAAATTTTATGTTTTCTATAAATAATGATAATAATTGAGAATATGAGTAATTATCAATCGATAACCATGCACTTAAATCATCTATGTCATGCAAACTATCGCAATCTGTAAACAGGAAAGTTTCGAATAAATAAGATCCATGTAATTTATGGACCTACCTCGACTTGTATTTCGACGTGGTCTTTGTCAGGGTTCCATTTCATAACAAAGTTGCCGTACTTGTCGAGCTGCACTTGGTGTCTGAAGTGCTGCTGGGCTGTGCAGACCATCAGGCTGAACACGACCAGCACGGTGCATGTTGCTGCTAGGAGTGACATCCCATGCACAGGTTCTGCGAAAAACGCCGGCATATTTGACACAGTAACGAATGCAAAAAATCATTTTGAATTCAAATAATTTTATATCTGGTATTTTGGATGATTCAACGCTTCCAGGCATCAGGCTGAACACGACCAGCACGGTGCATGTTGCTGTTCGGAGTGACATCCCATGCACACGTTCTGAGGAAAACGCCGGCATATTTGACCCATTAACGAATGTAAAAAAAATTAGATAAGTACTCACTTCCGTGAGTGACAGAGAGCGCATTTTGTCGTCCGTCCGTGAAGTGAAGTCACGGACGGACATGACGAGCATAATAGCTCCTTTTTTCCATAGATGAGAAAATGCACTAAAAACACTAATTAAATCAAAATAATTTTATATCTGATATTTTGGATGATTCGACGCTTCCGGGCATCAGGCCGCCACGACCAGCACGGCTTGCTGCTGCTCTGAGTGACATCTGTGGCAAACGCCGGCATATTAAATCCTTTATAACTAATGCAATAAAAACATGGCTTTAATTCAACGTATTGTTATTGGATGTGTTGGATAATGCAGCGCTTCCAGGCAACATGCTGGTAACTCATAGCACGACCGGTGTTGCTGTACGATGTGACATAACATGCATTACGTTAATTCTGAGGAATGTGACGGCACATTTATGAATATTATTTAAAGGCCTTAGGATGCTGAAATATTCTTCGGAGAAAACCGAACGCAAGTTAAACTTATGATATTTTCACCATTTCACACAGGCTATTCTATGACTGTTATTTCTCTTTATTCAGAATAAACACTCATATTTATTTATTTATCTATTTATTTATAATTTTTTGTTAAGAAAGCGCACACCAATTCGATACAACTGCGTATACGCGATACAACTGCGTACGCGCGATGCAAGTGCGTACACGTGATGCAACTGCGTACACGTGATACAACTGCGTACACGTGATACAACTGCGTACACGTGATACAACTGCGTACACGTGATCCAACACTGCGTACACGTGATGCAAGTGCGTACGCGCGATGCAAGTGCGTACACGTGATACAACTGCGTACACGTGATACAACTGCGTACACGCGATACAACTGCGTACACGCGATACAACTGCGTACACGTGATACAACTGCGTACACGCGATGCACGTGCTCGTGTCAACTTATAAACGTTGTTTGCACGTAGCGCCGACAAACTCCACTCCTTATATTTAGTGCTGGTCGTGCGCTCGATACGTGAGTGAAGCTCCTTCTAGGTAATAATTTGTGATCATTTCCAAAATGAGTATAAAATAATCAAAATAAAAATTATCCTATTGAATAATTAGATCGTTCGCGTCTCATTGTCACAGCATGTCACGCAACTTATTCAATATAGAGGAATATTGTATTGATAATAATACATCAGATATAGAATATTCATTATTATTTCAATGAATATTCGATAAATTTATGCACTATATTTCAGTCAAGTTCTACATTATTTTAAAATAAATGGTAATTCGAGCGGTCTACATAAAATATTTGCAGTCAAATGTAGGTTTTAATTTTATGCTTACGGTATTACCCAAATAGGAGGCTATAAACATCGCATGATAGAAGGAACTTCAATTTAACTTCAGAAGCCAATAAGTTTCTTCTTGAATTATATAGACACTTGACGAGGGCGAAGCTCAATTATTTATCACATGTTTGCTTCCCACGGGGATCGATTTACGCACGGCAGGTTATAATTTTATGCTTACGGTATTACATAAATTGTTAGCTAAACATCGTAGAATAATACAATATAACTTTAATTTGACTTCAGAAGCCAATAACTTTCTTCTTAAAATGTACAGGCACTTGGACGAAGTCGAAACTCAATTGTTTATCACATGTTTGCTTCCCACGTGGATCGATACACACGGCAGGTAATCACCTGGACACGTGAACCCTTCAACGTTGATCTTTTCTTTTACGCTAATTCATACACGCATACACGTGCAGCATCGATTCCCGATCACACAGTCCATTAAAATGTCGAGAAAGAAAATACTGAAGAGCGGTAATGGACAGGTACTTATTGGCCACCATTAACTGCCGACCGGCAACTTTTCGGTGGCCGCTGATACCACGCTTAATAATTTCAACAGCGAACAATTAAATGACCATCCAGAACTTGATATATATTCCTAGACTGCCGTCTGCATGTATATATTTGAATATTATCGCCAGTAAAATATAGATGGAAACTGAACAACATCGCCTTAGTAATTCGCCATGAAATACAAGCGACAGGTTTGGATATGAAGAAGAATTTGATGAATATCTCCCAATAACATACAATAAGATTATTCGCCCCAGAACAACCACTAACTGCCAGGAGCAAGAGGCATGTGGCGGAAGCAGTTCAATTAGCTTTCACTCTATACAGTTTGCCTAACTCGCTACCTCATTACGCTCTGCTGAGTGAGAACACGCTAGCGTGACGACACTCACTGCACGCTGAGTGAGAACACGCTAGCGTGACGACACTCACGGCATGCTAAGTGAGAACACGCTAGCGTGACAACACTCACGGCATGCTAAGTGAGAACACGCTAGCGTGACGACACTCACTGCACGCTGAGTGAGAACACGCTTGTTGCAGGCTGTGTGAGAACAATTAACAAAAAGTCAGTTATGTGATGATCATAAGTTACATAACAATAATAAGTTAAGCGATTATCATAAGCTCGACGAAGATTATGAGTTCTAAGATGACTATATATATACATGTTATCACGATAATACGACTTATGATTTTCAGCAGATCTACAACGGCGTAACAGTCTACGAACAAAGCAAATCCAGGTTGAATTTTCTTTGATTCAAATGACATTTTCTTGGGTTCAAATGAGATTTTCATATCCAATTCCGGATTTTGACGACGTCTTCACTAGTTTCACATGGAAGCCATGCCTTATCCAATATTATGGTTAAATTTATCCACCCTCGCTACATCTACAAATTACGAAGCCAAGTCCAAGACAAAAGACAAATGAGTAGCGTTATTTGTGCTGAAAAATTCAGCTGTTGCCACTATGCCTGAGGAATAACGTCTCTTTAGAAATACTTCATGGAACAAACCTAAGGAAAAATTATTCTTCACGCCCATTAATACGACATGAAGAAATGCGCGCAATAAATATACTTAACGGAAAAAAATAGCAGGCGAAGATATGCGCCTAATAAGCAGACTCTTTAACTGCAGAAGTCGATTTTTGTTTTCTTTATTTTAGGTGGGCACTTTTGTTTTCTTTATTTTACGTGGGCATTTTTGTTTTCTTTTTTTTACGTGGGCATTTTTGTTTTCTTTATTTTACGTGGGCATTTTTGTTTTCTTTATTTTACGTGGGCATTTTCCAGCGTGGCTCTGCAGCGTACGCAACAACACCCAGCACTTCATTCATTGAGTTCAGAAAATAAAATTCTGGAGTTTGTTCAAATTTGTGCAAGCAAAGAGACAAATGTTTGCATTTATGGCTAAGATATAATGACCAAGATTTTCTTACTTTGTTGAACCAATTTATAACTATACTGAACAACACAGTAATGATTAGAAACACAAACTTGCACGTTTACAGGTATGGGCGTGTAAGAAAAGTTTCTGTTGATTGCTAAAAAATTCACACTTAATATGTTTTTCTAAATCAAAATGTAAAAAAAATAATAAAATCCCACCAACAATTTATAAACAGCACCTAAAATCTCGCAGAAAATGTGGTTTTGCGGTTAACAGAAAATTTACACGAGAGGTTAACGAAATTTGTCTCACCTGCCCCGACAGACGTCCTTATAATTTCTATTATACCTTAACGAAGGAAATAAATTAATAGTATAAGTTATCGAAGTTCACTTGTAGTTCAATACTTCTTCATGCAGGCCTCAACTGGCCACAATAATATAGGAAGCTTGATTGTTTTACGGGAGACAAACACGCATAACCTCACCTCACGACGGCAGGCTAAACACTACCAAGAGTGGGCAGGTGAACCGCACCACCGCACGCAATCACCTCGCCCGGACGCGTTCACGAATTATGCACCGGCGCGAGTAACCTTCTTTAGTAGTTAGTAACCTTCTCTGTAGTGTACCGGCGCGAGTAACCTTCTTTAGTAGTTAGTAACCTTCTCTGTAGTGTACCGGCGCGAGTAACCTTCTTTAGGAGTTAGTAACCTTCTAAGTAATGTACCGGCGCCAGTAACCTTCTAACAGAGCTGGGCAGCGCTACTTTGAAATGTAGCGGCCGCTACCGCTCCGCTACATGCTCTTAATGTAGCGGGCGCTACCGCTACCGCTACACCCACTAGATTGTATCGAGCGCTACCGCTACCGCTACAGTAGAATGTAGCGCCGCTACATTAGACAAATACAATGGACAAAATTATTGGAAATCTCTAAATATTTATTGTTCTGCTATTGGGATTTACTCATAAACATTTAATGATAATAAAATATTTTCAAAACATATCAATGCAACTTTATTGCAATTAACCTAACCGAACAAGTACGGGTTAGATACAGTAAATAAAAGTTACAGTTATTTTCATGTTTTACCTTCCCTACATGGATGTCTACTTTAATCTACCAATCTCAAAAATTATCCACATATACATATAAAAAATCAGTCTTTTATTTGTATATATATGTGGATTATTTTTGAGATTGGTAGATTGAAGTAGACATCCATATGTAGGGAAGGTGAAACATAGAAATAACTGTGTAAAAATAACTGTAAGCAAACTGAAACATGAAAAAATACCTGTAAGTGGTAACTGGTAACAACTTAACAAGTAACAACTAACATGTTGACACTAGTAACAGGCTAAGGTTGACAACATTACACCGAAATCTTTCGTACAGTTTTATTCTGTAATTTATTTTATGTATGTTATAGTATGTATCATGCTGGTTTTTAAATAATATTTAATACTATTAAGTAAAATCTAAAGGCTTTATCTATAAATGTAGCGGTAGCGCTGTAGCGGCAAAAACTCGTATCACTACTTAAATATGTAGTGGGCGCTACCGCTACCGCTACATTGCTTTAAAATATAGCGCCGCTACCGCTACCGCTACATTGCTTTAAATGTAGCGCCGCTACCGCTACTGAAAATGCAGCGGCCGCTGGTAGCTGCCGCTACATGTAGCGCACTAGACTGCATGCTCACCGTTGCCTTCTAAGTAATGTGCGTGCGCAAGTAACCTTCTAAGTAATGTACCGGCGCAAGTAACCTTCTAAGTAATGTACCGGCGCAAGTAACCTTCTAAGTAATGTACAGGCGCAAGTAACCTAATATTTCTCGCATACTCTCTCTCTCTGAAATGCAAAATTATTCATCTTCACAGAGGGACATTACAGTAACTTATACAATCTTTTATATATTTCTTCTTTATTTACAACGGGTACTTTTGAAAACCTATAGATGATTCATCTGATGAACCTAGAGAAAACCTACAAATTCGTTGGATCAAATAATAATGTTGAAGTTTAAAGTATCTATCAGGGTTTAAGCATTTTACAAAATTACTATCGAATGAGGCTTCAAGTATTCAATTTTTAATCACCATAGAAGTAAGCATTTTATATAATTTAAAAAATGGTTAACACCATGTAGTCGTTCAGTGGCCCATGCAGCCATGAGTTTTTTCCCATCCGGCCATGCCGGTTTTCTCAGGACACCCTGCGAGTATGCAGACAACAATACTTTTTTTAATGATTATTGCTGCAACAATTACAGACTTCATTTATACGGCGTCAAAGTAAAAATATTTTGTGAAAATTAATTTTATAAATTCAAATTTTATCACGTGCCTTAATTTCCGAGTTTCTTGAAAGTGTTTTCCACGCTAGAAGCCGAAAGACTTTGATTAGTCAGTGAGTTGTTTCTACTGTTTGTATAGGGAGCAGCTAAGCTAGGATACGTTGAGTGAACTAATTGGATATTGGCTTCTAGAATGTCGCACTCTGGTGAGAAACAAACATCGTTTGGCAATTATCAAAGTTTCATTGCTTACTAAACGCCTAATTGAGGAAGTGTCATGAGTAAACATATATAGGAAAATTCTTCGTGACTAGCAAAAGTCAGATTCACGTGCTTCGGCCCGGGATTACAATGCAATTTAAAAATCTGAGATTTTATTTGACAGTAAAGTTCGTCAAAAATTGCCCGCGAAGTGACATCTCACGCTTCTAGTAGTTATATTAAGCTTTTGAACCTGCGTTGAACCAAATCCATAACTTGTGAAATGTTCGTGCTTGGAATTCGTTGGTGACGAACGTGTGATGTAATCGTGACGTACGAATACTGCGGCGAACGCAAGCCATACAGTGGGGGGAAATAAATATTCGTACACTTGAAAAATCGTATTTTAATGTATGTAAGTACACAAACTTAACAGGAAAAGTGATTTATATATAAATCACTTCTCCTGTTCAGTTTGTGTACTTACATACATTAAAATACGATTTTTCAAGTGTACGAATATTTATTTCCCCCCACTGTATAGTGACATTTCTGCCTTGAACATTTATGATGAATGTCTGACATATTCGCGACACTGGCTGTCTTCACTAACAATACGATAAGTTGTCATTTATGGAAAATGTTCTATTATTCAGTAATTGTAGTCTGCATTGGAATCGAGGAACTCAACTGCCATCAGTATTTCCCTAAAGAGTAAAACAGTCCCGTTCCCATCAGTGTACTACCCAATCATTACATCCACCCCTCTCAGTGTACTACCCACTAATTACACCCACCCCTCTCAGTGTACTACCCACTAATTACACCCACCCCTCTCAGTGTACTATATACCCACTACCTACACCCTCTCTGCTCAGTGTACTACCCACTAACTACCCCCTCTCTGCTCAGTGTACTACCCACTAACTACCTCCTCTCTCTGCACAGTGTACTACCCACTAACTACACCCTCTCTCTGTACTACCCACTAACTACCCCCCTCTCTGCTCAGTGTACTACCCAGTGTACCCGCTGAAGACGCTGAACACATCACGCGCCGCTGACACCGCTGAGGCGCTGAACGCCCAGGAGATAATCCTGACGGGGGTGGCGTTCGGACTGCTGGCGCTGCTGGTGCTCTTCTACCTGCTCTTCTGCTGCCACGTCTGGGGCACGCATGCCGGGCTATGGGCCTTCTGCCCGTGCAGCTACTGCCAGCGCCGGTCAGAACATGATGTTAATGAGTTGATAGTGAGAAGTTAATGAGTTGATAGTGAGCAGTTAATGAGTCTTGTATCTGTCGCTTCTGTCAGCGCCGGTGAGAACTTAATGTTAATGAGTTAATAATGAGAAGTTAAGGAGTTAGTCTTATATCTGTTGGTACTGTCAGCGCCGGTAAGTACTTAATGTTAATGAGTTGATAATGAGAAGTTAAGGAGTTAGTCTTATATCTGTTGGTACTGTCAGCGCCGGTAAGTACTTAATGTTAATGAGTTAATAATGAGAAGTTAAGGAGTTAGTCTTATATCTGTTGGTACTGTCAGCGCCGGTGAGAACTTAATGTTAATGAGTTGATAATGAGAAGTTAAGGAGTTAATAATGAGAAATTAATGAGTTACCATTGCGTCATCGCTGGGCCAGCTGTGGCAATTAATACTGACACATAGAAATGGATTAATTTGTCAAGTAGGAATTAAGGCCGGTATAGAAAGTAGGGCTGGTATAGAAAGAGTGGTTCCTAAGTAAAGAATGTCAATATATGAACATGGTTACTGATACAGCTAATTAACATGTCAGTCTGAAATGAAGTAAAAATGACCAGTCAATGTTACGGTATTTGGCAGGTCGTGAAAAATTTCACCCCACTTTACATACGATCAATCATGATGAACGTATATAACTTAAGGTATGTACGATCAATTAAGATGACCGTACATAACTTAACGTACGATCAATTAAGATGACCGTACATAACTTAACGTACGATCAATTAAGACGACCCAATATAACTTAACGTACGATCAATTAAGATGACCGTATATAACTTAACGTACGATCAATTAAGATGACC